ACGAGCCGACACATTCGTGATTGCTGATGCACGCACGACTCGCAGGTCATTGGTGGCTCAACCGAGCTTCCGCCCTTGCCGACGCGTAACGCACCTGAGAGACGGGTGCCGATGACGACGCCCGCGATCTTGCCAACCGAGCTCAGAACGCACATCTATCGGCTTCATATCGACGCGCTTCAACGCAGCAGGCACGCCAACATCACTGCCAACCTCTGGAGTCTATCGCTGGTGGAGCGAGCGGCCCTGACCCTCGTGGTGAGAAGGCTTCTGCACTGTCCGGTGCTTGGAGGGGCCAATCAAGTCAGAGCCTTTGCGCGATGCATCTCTCGTCATCCACACACCAAGCAGCAGGCTCGAATGAGCACGAAAAGGCTGCTGGTACGAGGATTGCGTGCCAGAACCAGGACGCATCTCTACGATGCTGGTGACGTAGCATCCGCGTTATCACGGGACAGCGCTTTCGCACTCTTGGTCGCTTTGCCAATGCTGCTGCAGCTGGAGAGCTTGGCCATCGCCTTTCCTCCGCGACTCCTCTGCCCCGCCAAAACTCACAAAGATGACTCGCGTTTCGTTTCGGTCCGCGCGCGACTTCAGGAGCTGGTGTGCGAAGGCAGCACCTTTGGAAGAGATCCTCTGGGAACTCTATTCTGCCCGCTGTCCACGACGAGCGATCCCAAGCAAACATCTCATTGGCCTGCATTGACGCAGCTGCAGCTTCACGGACCTCGGCTGCACCTCTCGCAAGAAGCGCTTCACAACATCGCACTCTTGCCCAAACTCGAACAGCTGTGTCTCAGCATCCCGCCTGGCCCAGGCTACCGCGCACGAATGCCAGAGTTCCTCCAACCTCTGATGGCTTCCGTGTCATTGCGCCGGCTGCTGGTCATCAGCCACAACTTGGAGCGCTACGTCGGACACCGATCACGCGTGGAGCCCATGCTCAGGCACCTCTTTCGACCCGCTCATCTTGTCGATGATGCGCGAGCCCTCACCATCACGCTGGTCACTGTCGACATGCCCAAGCAGCACAAAGACATGAACACCAGCCTCATTGCTTCGTGGTTGTTCGCAAGGGCGGAAGCAGGAGCCCACTGGCACTTTGGTAGATCGACAAGCTTGCCGCCAGGCGTCGAGCGAGACTTTTCCTTTGCGACCATCGGCGCACAGCTAGCGAGAGCCTGCGAGGAAGTGGACGCGGCGTGGGGTGCAAAGACTTGCGTGGAGGAATGGACCGTCGAGGGCCAGCAGCATTCGCAGGACGTGTCCGAGATGGGAGCACAGCCTTTGCTTCGCGCAGATGTCGCTCCTGACCTCGCTGCTCTGTTGCTGCAAGACGAGGACATTGGCAACGAGTGGAGCAGCGATTCGGAATCGAGCGAGTGAGGATGCGTCGAGCCATCGTCATGAGT